CCCACAGCCCGTGTCACTGACGCCCGAGTTCCCCTGGAGGACGGGGCTCTGCGTGCCCCCAGCCCCTGTCACTGACGCCCGAGTCCCCCCGGAGGACAGGGCTCTGCGTGCCCCCAGCCCCTGTCACTGACGCCCGAGTCCCCCCGGAGGACGGGGCTCTGCGTGCCCCCAGCCCCTGTCACTGACGCCCGAGTCCCCCCGGAGGACGGGGCTCTGCGTGCCCCCAGCCCCTGTCACTGACGCCCGAGTCCCCCCGGAGGACAGGGCTCTGCGTGCGCCCCCAGCCCGTGTCACTGACGCCCGAGTCCCCCTGGAGGACAGGGCTCTGCGTGCGCCCCAGCCCGTGTCACTGACGCCCGAGTCCCCCTGGAGAACAGGGCTCTGCGTCCCCCCCCAGGCCGTGTCACTGACGCCCGAGTCCCCCTGGAGGACGGGGCTCTGCGTGCCCCCAGCCCGTGTCACTGACGCCTGAGTCCCCCTGGAGGACGGGGCTCTGCGTGCCCCCAGCCCGTGTCACTGACGCGCGAGTCCCCCTGGAGGACGGGGCTCTGCGTGCCCCCGCAGCCCGTGTCACTGACGCCCGAGTCCCCCTGGAGGACGGGGCTCTGCGTGCGCCCGCAGCCCGTGTCACTGACGCCCGAGTCCCCCCGGAGGACAGGGCTCTGCGTGCCCCCCAGGCCGTGTCACTGACGCCCGAGTCCCCCTGGAGGACGGGGCTCTGCGTCCCCCCAGCCCGTGTCACTGACGCCCGAGTCCCCCTGGAGGACGGGGCTCTGCGTGCGCCCCCAGCCCGTGTCACTGACGCCCGAGTCCCCCTGGAGGACAGGGCTCTGCGTGCGCCCCAGCCCGTGTCACTGACGCCCGAGTCCCCCTGGAGAACAGGGCTCTGCGTCCCCCCCAGGCCGTGTCACTGACGCCCGAGTCCCCCTGGAGGACGGGGCTCTGCGTGCCCCCAGCCCGTGTCACTGACGCCTGAGTCCCCCTGGAGGACGGGGCTCTGCGTGCCCCCAGCCCGTGTCACTGACGCCCGAGTCCCCCTGGAGGACGGGGCTCTGCGTGCCCCCGCAGCCCGTGTCACTGACGCCCGAGTCCCCCTGGAGGACGGGGCTCTGCGTGCCCCCGCAGCCCGTGTCACTGACGCCCGAGTCCCCCTGGAGGACGGGGCTCTGCGTGCCCCACCAGCCCGTGTCACTGACGCCCGAGTCCCCCCGGAGGACGGGGCTCTGCGTGCCCCCCAGGCCGTGTCACTGACGCCCGAGTCCCCCCGGAGGACGGGGCTCTGCGTGCCCCCCAGGCCGTGTCACTGACGCCCGAGTCCCCGTGAAGGACAGGGCTCTGCGTGCCCCCCTCCCTGCCCCCCATGTGTCACTGTCCGTTGTCTGGCTTCCGTGATGATTGTTCGTGGGATGTTGTTGAAATCGAGAAATGTGGGAAAGATAATAAAACCCACAAACGCACAGTGGCTCCTGCGTGCTCGGTCTGGATACATGATGGTGTGTCTCCTTGCCTGCTTCCTTTCCTGTGATTGATTTTCCGCCCCTCAGAGCCCCCAGCAGAAGCGGCTCCCCGAGCTCGCCGGGCCTCCTGGGCTCTGGGACGGGAGCGTGAGAACGCAGAGGACGCGCCGCTCTGGCTTCACGCATCGCCGCCAGCAGCGTCTTTATTGTTTGGGCGGTGTTTGCACTACCAGCTGTGGTATCTGAGCCACGTGCAGTGCCCCTCAGCCTGAGGTAAACCAGAATGAGTGTGATCTGGCGGAAGTCAGGCGTTTCGTTTCATGTGTCGGGTGGAGCAAGTCTTCGGTGTGATTAGGGATCCGCTCAAGGATCTTCCCGACAACTTGCTCATGGATGATGATTTCCCACATATAATCTTAAAAGCAAATGTTAAAAAATGTTTGAAGGAGCCGTTTGAAAAATCAGTCTGTTGCGTGTTTGTCTTTCTTCTCTAACGATGTCCTGTGTCGATTAGGACATGGGGTGACCGTCTGAAAGATGGTGCGACTGTGGTGTTGCTCTGCGCCTGAGGGACGAGAGCGGAGAAGGGGGCAGAGCGTGCGGGCGGCGCCCTGCCCTGCAGCCTGTGGCTCCTGACGGCGCTCTGAGGGTGCTGTCCGCGTCCAGCGCTGGCCTGGGAGCTCGGCGCGGGCCGCGCTGTGAGTCATGCCCAGTGACGGGGCGGGGCACGGGGCAGGCTCGGCAGGTCCTGGTGGGGTCCCCGCTGGTTCCGCAGCTGAGGGGCGGACCGCGTAGGATTTGTTTTGGGTGAAATGTGAAAGTCGCTCAGCCGTGTCGGACTCCTTGTAATGGACTGTAGCCCCCCCAGGCTCCTCTGTCCACGGGGTTCTCCAGGCAAGAACACTGGAGTGGGTGGCCATCCCTTCTCCAGGGATCTTCCCGACCCAGGGACCGAACCTGGGTCTTCTGCTCTGCAGGTGGATTCTTTACCACCCAGCCGCCTGGGAAGCCCTTCTTCTGGCTGAAGGCATCAGAAAAGCAGACTCAGGGCCCTTAGGCCCTTAGACTGATAGGGGCTTCTTTTTCCCAGTGGGCTGTCTGGAGGAGAGGAGCTGTTGGCGTGGATTTCATCAGGGACCTGAGCTCGTGGCCACAGGGTGGCATCACGGTCCTGCTCGAGGCAGAGGGCAGTCGCCAGGGCATCTGGGCTCTCTGGAAGGCAGTGTGATCAGGCTGGTCACGTGCCCCGCTACCCCCTTTCCCCACCCCGAGCTGCGGCGCGGAGAAGTCGGGATCCCGTGGGCTGGCCGCCGGCACTTTGGAGTGGGGTTCTGGTCACAGGGAAGCGGGGGCTGGGTGTGGGCTGACAGCCTGCTGTGTTGGCCTCTGAGGCTCCTCACTAGGTTTCCGGCTCCCTGCGGTCAGGGGCTGTCTTTCTTACGCTGCAGCTCTTAACGCGTGGCTGGTGTCCATCGGTGTCCCCGCCACACAGTGGAGACCAGAAAATGGCTGAATTGCTTTCAGCTGTATTCACAGTCTTGGGTGTGAAGGGAATAAATGAACCTTGAGTTTTTAAAGTCAAAGACACGGCATTTAGAATGAACCCTCCCATGTCCTGTTTTCCCACAGAATGTAGCTGAGACTCCAGAGGACCGCAAAGGACACAAAGGTGTCTAGTCCTGGAAACTGCGAAGAAAGTAACATTTTGTTTTAAGATAATTTAAGATGCTTGGAACCTATTGATAAAAAAAGATTAAGAATGGCCACCGTTCCTTCTAACTGATGTATGGAGCTGAGCTGAGCACAAAATCAAGCTAGAAAAGGATGTAAAGATGTGTTAACTTAGAAGAGTGTGGTTATGTCCTTTGACCTCCTGGGGCTTTGGTGGTGTGGTGAATTGTTACCCATCACCTGAGGATGAGGATGATGGGTGCCCGAGTGGGGAGAGATGACAGGAGGTCACCTGGGTCTGGTGTGGGCAGCCCTTGGTCGGCCAGACTTGGAGCAGGTGGTTGTGGAGTTGGGCTTGGTTGTGTGAAGGCCGGAGTCCAGCTTCTTCCTGGGGCTTTCCTTGTGGCAGTTGCCGAGCAGGTAGGATGTTTTGCTTCTCCCTAGGCCTGGCCTGGACACTTGGGCTGTGTGCTTTACTAGGGGGCTGGCAGGTTCCGTGACCACAGATCCTATTTGGTGCCCTCTGGAAGTTCCCATCCTGTAAACTTGCCAGATGAAGCTAGAACAAAGAGGATTTCCTGAAGAAGGGAAAAGCAAAGAGATTGGGAGTGATTGAAATTCACCGTGGGCGTGGAAGGATGTGGGCAACAGAGCAGCGGGATTGTTTGACTTCTTTAGAATCAAATCAAGGGCTCTGGGATGGTGGCACTGGCTGCTTTGGTGGTGGTTGTGGTGATGATGGTGGTGATGATGGTGGTGATGATGGTGGTGGTGGTGGTGATGGTGGTGATGGTGGTGGTGGTGGTGGTGGTGATGGTGGTGGTCATGGTGATGGTGGTGGTGGTGATGGTAGTGGTGATGGTGGTGGTGGTGATGATGATGGTGATGGTGATGATGGTGGTGATGGTGGTGATGGTGATAGTGGTGGTGATGGTGGTGATGATGATGGTGGTGGTGGTGATGGTGGGGATGGTGATGATGGTGGTGATGGTGGTGATGGTGATAGTGGTGGTGATGGTAGTGATGATGATGGTGGTGGTGGTGATGGTGGGGATGGTGATGATGGTGGTGATGGTGATGATGGTGAGATGGTAGTGATCGCTGGATTTGACAGTGCTTGCTCTGCGTCAGGTTCATAGAAATACATGGAATCCCTGAGAAGGAGCTCAGAGAGTCAGGAGAACAATGACTGTGCACACCCTCCTGAGTCCCTTTGGTCTGTGTCTCCAGACACAGGCCCTTCTCTCTCTGCACTTCTTCCTGGAGCGGTTGGTCACCCTCCTTCCTGGGGAGACCCTGGGGCCTGAGCCAGCCACTCTCCCTTGTTTGGTTCCCCTCTTGTCCTGTCCGTCTGTCTGGTTGGTGCTCACAGGCAGGAAGGGAAGTTGCTCCTGTTAAAGGTGAGAAGCACGAAAGTGGAGGAGAAGAGAGGTGGGTGCTGTTTTCACTTTCTCACTCCCAGGTCCGCTGTGATTGTCGAAGGGCTGGAGTTGTCATCTCTTCACTGCAGGGAACACAGCATCACATTGTAGGGACCATGGGGCTGGAGAGGCTGGACATGGTGGGGGCCTGTGTGGTGGAAAAACAGGTGGGAACTGATGAGCAGTGGGACTCGAGCGGTGGCAGGTCAGGAAACTGCAAACTGATGCAGGTGACCAGAGCAGACGTCTGCAGAACCAGCCGGGGCCGAACGGAGGGGCGAGAGCCGCCCGGACAGGGAGTCCCGTCCACTCTGCGCTCCGGAGCAGGAGGTGGTTTGCTTTTCACTCGACGGGGCCTGGGGGCTGTGGTCACCTGATCGGCTCAACCGCACGTGCATTTGAAAGCTTCACTCTGCAGGCCCATGAGTTGATGGGGTGCAAATGCCCATAGATGCCATCTGAAACGGCGGTCACCTGCCCGTGGGGCGTGCTCCTCCACACCCGTGTTGAGGACTCTGACCTGCCCAGTCCTAGGCCCGTGGGCCCCTTCACTGATCATCGTGGAAAGGTAGGGAGGCTTTATTGGTGTGACGGTACCATTGTCTTGGCTTCCTCGGTGGCTCAGTGATCAAGAATCCGCCTGCAGTGCAGGAGACTCGAGTTCGATCCCTGGGTCGGGAAGATCCCCTGTAGGAGGAAATGGCAACCCAGTCCAATATTCTTGCCTGGAGAATCCCATGGACGGAGGAGCCTGGCGGGCTACAGTCCATGGGGTCGCAGAGTCGGACACGACTGAGCGACTAAATGCAACAATGCGGTCTCAGTCTGCTTGGGCTGCCGGGACAGAACCGCTCTGGCTGGGTGGCTGCCACATTCGTTTCTCGAAGTCCTGGTGGCCGAGGGGTCCACGGTCCAGGCCCTGGAGGCAGATCCTGTACCTGCGGCGCCTTCCTACCGTCCCCCGCAGCGGCAGGAGCGGGGGGCCCCGGGGCCCTTTCTGAGGGCCCTGCCCCTGCGTGGTCTGCGACGGCTGTCCCGCTCAACCGGATGTCACCCTGCTTGGTTACCGCGAGGCACCACCCGGCCCTCCGCAGGGAGGAGGCCTCTCTTCTCACAGGTCATCTCCTGGGTTCCCTGCCGACCCTGAGCAGTCAGTAGCGCACCCCTGTTTGCAGTGGGAAGCTGAGACTCGGAGGAGGAGGGGGGCCGGCCTGAGGCCCGGCCCCTGCATGCCGCTGTCACTGCCCCGGGCCTGGAACGGGCGCGCTTAGAGACGTGCTGCGGGTCATCGCAGGTGATCCAAGTGGGGAACCGGGGAGATTCCTGATGCGCAGAGGTGCAGGGTGGGGAGACGAGAGGTCATGCAGGTCGGCCTCAGCGCGGGGAGGACACAGGAAGGTGTCAGAGGACTGCGGAAGCGCTGGCCTTGGTGTCAGGAAGTGAAGACAGCCGTCTCTATTCTGAGTCTGTCGTGAGGCATGAAGCGCTGCCGGGCGAGTCTCTGGTTCTGGTTTTATGCCAGCTCCTGAGACATTAACACAGACTGAAAGCTTTCTGGTGAGAGCTCAGACGGTGCTCAAATTGGTCCGAAAGGGAGAAAGTTCAGGTTGGCTTAAAGTGCTTAAAAAATGAGATGTCCTTTTTGTTAGCATAAGACAGTCTGAAAAAATTAGTTGAGGATGTCTTTTTAAAGCTGCGTTTTAGCGAGTGTGTTGTTTTAGGTTCTAGAAGTAGGAATAAGAACCTAGAAAAGTCAGTGGCCGTGACTGTCGGTCACCCTGCCCCCGGGTCCCGCGCCTCGGGACAGAGGAGTCTGGGCGTCAGGGCCAGATCGGGCCACGGCCGCGCTTTCCCGTTGACTGGCAGGACGATCAGGCCGCTCTCTCCCCCACACTTCCTTCAGGGTTAGTGTCTCCACCTCTTGTTGCTCTTTAGCCGCTAAGTCGTGTCCGACTCTTTGCGACCCCGGGGACTACAGTGCACCAGGCTTCTCTGTCCTTCTGGGTCCCGAGTTTGCTCAGATTCATAGCCATTGAGTCAGTGATGCCAATCAAACATCTCATCCTCTGTCGTCCCCTTCTCCTCATGTCTTTAATCTCTCCCAGCATCAGGGTCTTTTCCAGTGAGCCGGCTCTTGATGTCAGGTGGCCAAAGTATTGGAGTTTCATTTCAGCTTCAGCATCAGTCCTTCCAATGAATATTCAGGACTGATCTCCTTTAGGATGGACTGGTTGGATCTCCTTGCAGTCCAAGGGACTCTCAGGAGTCTTCTCGAACACCACAGTTCAAAAGCATCAGTCCTTCTGCGCTCAGCCTTCTCTGTGGTCCAGCTCTCACATCTGTACATGACTACAGGAAGAACCGTGGCTTTGGCCAGACGGACCTTTGTCGGCAGTGATGTGGGCCTAGATGGTGCTCACCTGCATCTGGCTTTGAGAGGTGGTCCCGTGAGAGGGGTCTGGGCGGTGTGCCAGGCTTGCCCGGCCCTGGTGCTGACTCCCGCGACGGCCTGCCCCCCGCGGAGCCCCCACGCCTCTGCACTCAGGCAGCGCGGATGCAGACACTCGCGTTTCCCATTCAGCTATTCTCATGTCATACGCCTTTCTCATGTTGCTGCATCTTCATAACCGTCATTTTTAATGGCTGTATAATGTTTTGAAAATGATCTTTATTTAAAATTGTTATTAAAACTGTATATCTGCCTAAATCAACACCTAATTTATATGCTTAATCAAAACTATAACTTTGAAAATATGCACTCTGAATCCCAGAACAGAAACGTTGTTCTTTGAGACTCTGCGGGAGGGGGAGGGGCGAGAGCAGTTAAAGTTTGGAAATCGGCGATTTCACTCACACTCTGTGTTTGCTGTTTTTTTTTTTAATTGAAAAAGCTGCATCACGCAATGTTAAAACATTTACACGGCCCGTCAGGGCTTGCATAATGACGAATACGTCTGCCAGCAGCTGCCCTCCTGGTTCTCACCTCCTTTCAGAGGTGCTCTGTGTGAATTCAAGTGACTGTGTGCAGCTGTGTGTATATGTCGCCCCTGCCCCCTGCTCTTTGTGAATTGCAGGTGGACACACATTGCTCTCACGTGCCCCTTCTCTCGCTTTATACACGATGCAGCGCCTGAGAATAGGCGATAACAACAGGCACACACGTGGTCGCCGTCTCATTCACGAGTGTCAGCGCGGCATGTGAGTCGTCCACCGTTCCAGTGAGTAAAATACTCTTTTTGACAAGTTGGGGTGAAGCTCACGGATGCACACCGTCTGCGTTGTCTCCCGAGTCCGTCTGTCCGCCACGGCTGTGCTGGATCTTGGCTGCTGCACCCGGGCTTTCCTGGCCGTGGCGGTGGGCGCCTCACCGCGGGGGCTTCCGTAGCTGCAACATGTGGGCTAGTGGTTGGGGCTCCCAGGCTCTAGAGCACAGGCTCACGGCGTGTGGGATCTTCCCAGACCGGGAATTGAACCTGTGTCTCCTGCATTGGCAGGCAGAGTTACCCACTGAGCTGCCAGGGAAGTCCGCAGTTAACCATTTCACACGCTCAGGTCAGTGGGGGCTGGTGCAGTGTTGTGCAGACACCTAAAGGTCGTGCCCCACCTGAAATACCCTTAATGGAAACAGAACGTCCGTGTGATCCGGCAGTTCCACCTGCGGATGTTTATCCAAAGGAAACAAAACATTAACTCAAAAAGAAATGTGTACTCCCATGTTCATTGCAGCCTCGTTTACAATAAACCAAGTCGTGGAAATAACCTAGGTGTCCATCAGTGGATGAGTGGGTAAAGATGTCAGACTCACACAGAGGGATATTATTCAGCCATAAAAAGAATGAAGTGTTGCCATTTGCAGCAAATGGCTGGACCTTGAGGGCATTATGATAATGAAATAAGTCAGAGGAAGACAAATACCACACAATCTCACTTATTTGTGGAATCTAAACCAAAAACAAGCAATAGACCTGTGGTTTCCAGAGGTGGGGGGTGGGGGGCGGGGGATGGAACGGGGGAAGGGAGTCAAAATATAAAACAGTCCAGATATAAAATACGTTTCAGATATCGCATATTTGAAAGTGGCGAAGGAACCCTAGACATCCTCATCATAAGAAAAACCAATTTTGTGACTTTTGGTGGTGGATGTTAATGAGATTTATTGTGGTGACCATTTCACATACAGGTATTGAATCATGAAACTGTGCTGTAATATACCAGTTATACCTCAATCAAAAACGTCCTTAATGCAAAAGAATTGTCAGGAGTCTGGTCCTCAGGAGGTGGTTGATGTTCGGTTTAGCAGCAGCTACGTGGTTGGGGATCCTCACCTGTGAAATCCAGCGAGGGGCCAGGTCTTCCCTCCCTGGGTCGGCCCTTTTCAGGCGTGCCTTCCGGTTAGATGTCCATCAATTACAGGTTCAGTTACCGCCCGGAAAGTCCGGTAGGTCAGACGCTTTCTACTTCGTACCATCGGCATCGGGCTCATGAATGAGGCCGGGTTCGTGTGTGAGCAGCCGGACCTGGTGAAGTGGCAGCGCTGCGTGGTCCCCTCCCCGCTGCCCACCTAGAGCTGGCCCTGTAGGCGTGCCTGGCGGGGGACCAGCGCGGTCAGAGCACGGAGGAAGGTCAGGGCGCAGAGCTGAGCCCTGATAGCCAACAGCACCTGCGGGAGCCGCGTGCCGTGCCGTCGCTGTCTCGGGACCCCCAGCCAGCAGAGCCAGCACGGGAGCCCGGGCCTCTGAGGGAGCTGGTCCTCATGCTGAGCGGCCTCAGGGCAGGGCCGACCGTGGTAGGAGGGGCCTGGGGTGCCGGCGGGCCAGTCGGGAGGTCTGGCCCGTCCGAAGGAGGAGTTGGGTTGGGAGGCGGCCGTGGTGCAGTGGGATGGAGCAGAGGTGCTGAGATCGTGGGTTTTCCGCCTGCCTCTGCCCCCGTCAGGCCGCCTAGTCACTGCCTCCATCCTTGGTCTCAGTCTGCCCCTCATCCATGAACTCCAGGGGTCGGGCAGAGGGCAGCCGAAGCCTGAAAGCCTGGGACACGGAGCTGGGCGGTCGGGAGCCGTGCGGATGGGAGTCTGGGAAAGGAATGATGAGAACTGCGCGTTGGGGGGGCCCATTTGGCTTTTGTTGCTCTGTGATGATCCCTCTGGAGGGCTGCAGGCGGCCACGTGGGGGTGACCCTCTGAGATGCAGCTGCAGGCGAATTAGCCGTGCTTTGAACCCCAGCTGTTTGGAACTCCCTGCGCATTTGTGGGTCTGAAAGGAGCTCGGGCTCCTTGCCCCCCACTGCGGGGCATCGGCCCTTTCTTCCCTGCACACTCTGTGGCTGCAGCAGGCTCAAGCCTAATGAGGCTGTTTGGAGTTGACTGGGGGTAGGAAACAGAGCCGCAGTGTTCAGAGTCCCGGGAATCACGGGAGGCCCCTGGGAGGCATGTGGGCTGCTCGGCTCTGGGAGGTCCCACACGTGGTTGCTCTGTCGGACGCTTGGCCTCCATCTGCCTCCGTGGGCCTCCCTGCTGGCCGCTGAGCCGGCTCCGCTCTGGTGGGCTTCTGCCCTCGGCCTGCCGGAAGCGCTGTGTCGTGCGTGCCTTTGAGACTCCAGCTTTCAGCGGATGCTGGTGAGGACCAGGTGGAAAGCTCCCAGTGTTTTAAAGATGCCGCCAGCTCGCTCCCTTCTCTGGGTGGATTTCTTGATCCTTGTTTCATTATCTGCTGCTGTTAAATTTAGGAACAACCATCAGTTTACAGGAAAATGTTAAATTTAGGAACAGCCATCAGTTTACAGGAAAATGTTCCCTAATCCTTGTAAACTTAAATTTGCCTCTTTCAGCATACTCTTTAGTTAGCATTTAATTTTTCTCGCTTTGGCTCCTTCCAAGCCATTTTGCGCTTTATTGGCCCTCGCTGTTGTGTGTTTCTGCTGTCTGGCTCCCCAGTGCAGGATGTCTTCTCCTCTGTTGATAGACTCCGTCGTGTCGGGGCTGCCTCATGGTGCTCACGTGGCTGCCCCGGCGCATCCCTCCAGCAGCGCTCCTCGCTCAGCGCCCGAGGCCTCTCTGTACGCAGGTCACTGGGCCTCATTTGCTTGTCTCTTTACTTTAATGACCTTCTTTCTCAATCAGACCATTAGGTACTTCACTAAAATACACTCTTTTCTCCTGTTTATTAGTGGTTATTTCCTGAGTAAAATAGGTATTGGATTAGTAAGATGTGAATTTCCTTGTGTGTGCCAGTTCTATCAGAAGTCATTAAAACTTTCCTAGATTTAGGCCTTCTGTACTTGAACATTCCATCCCCATTACCTCAGCCAAATATGAAAGTATAAAATCTATTTAGCCAAGTCATTTTTTGATCTTTCATAGGCAGCATTTAATTTGCAGTTTTTTTCAAATGAGATTTTAGGTTTGCTTTTGGCCCACGTGGCTGATTTTTCTTGAGAGAAAGAGAGCTCTTGTATTCATTTTAGCTTTCTATTGTCTCCTCTAGTTTTCCTGAGCTGGAGGGAGAACCCTTTTATTAGTAGTGAAAGTTGTTTCTGATGATTTCATTCAATTAACCTCTGTCATGAGCTTCTAGTAGGTGAGGTCTGAGAGGGCCAGAGGCTTCCCCAGAGAGAGAGAGACAGACAGAGACGGGGTTGCAGAGAATTCAGTGCCACCTGGGAGGGTTAGGTTCCTACGTGTACCTATGAGGTTTTGTGGAAGCACAGGTGAAGAGGTCATGAGTCCACAGGGCTTCAGCGAGGGTGGGCGAGGGTGGGCCCTCCTGGGCCAGAGTCACGCGGACGTGTGCCCTCTGAGCCACGCAGCTTCGCGACGTGGGACTGGCATGGTGTTTGATAAGGCATGCGCCTGCTGGGCGAGGAGGGGGCCCTGGCAACTTAGGGAACGTCTGGGTGAGTGGGGCGGCTGACATCTGGGTCTCCATGTGGGGGCAGGATGTGAGGCTGGAGGCAGAACTGGAGCCTGGGCCTTGGAGGAGCCCAAGTGGAGAGCCGGGCGGCTGGCTGTCTTCTCTGGACTTCTGTGCATTCAGACGAGGCTCACTTTCACTGAGGGTTTGAGGGGCAGGAGCACAGCCTCGTCTCATGGAATCCTGTTGTTCACTGTGGTTGTTCAGTCACTAAGCCCTGTCTGACTCTTTGCAGAGCCAGACTCCTGTCTGACCCCATGGACGGCAGCACGCCAGGCCTCCCTGTCCTTCACTATGTCCCGGAGTTTGCTCAAACTCATGTCCATTGAGTTGGTGATGCCATCCAACCGTCTCATCCTCTCTCGTCCCCTTCTCCTCCTGCCTTCATCTTTCCCAGCATCAGGGCCTTTTCCAATGAGTCAGCTCTTTGCATCAGGTGGCCAGAGTATTGGAGCTTCAGCATCAGTCTTTGCAGTGAATATTCAGGACTGATTTCCTTTAGGATGGACTGGTTTGATCTCCTTCCCCAGGGGGTTAAAAGAGCTTATCTGTCTTTTGGGGAGGGTCTTTATGTGTGTGTGTGTGTGTGTGTAAATCTATCTGTGTGTATGTGTGTGTCTGTGTGTATGTCTGTGTGTGTGTATATATGTCTCTGTGTGTGTCTGTGTGTCTGTGTGTGTATATCTGTGTGCGTATGTGTGTATCTGTGTGTTTTTGTCTGTGTGTCTGTGTATGTGTATATCTGTATGTGTGTCTCTGTGTGTCTGTGTATGTCTGTGTATGTATCTGTGTGTGTGTGTGTGTGTGTATGTCAGTGTGTGTGTCTGTGTGTGTGTCTGTGTGTGTGTGTGTGTGTGTGTGTTCTTCCTTAAGAGACTCAGATCAAGCGTGTGCTTCTGTGTGCATCTCCCGACTCTCAATGGTTATAAACGACGTCCTTCCCAGGACAGTCGTGTTCTCTGAAGGCTCAGTTGTTAACGGCTGTGTCGTGGTCGTTAAAGTACAGCCATTTCTGCCATTTGCTCATCTGTGACACATTTCTTAAGCCATTCCCCTATTATTGGGGCATTTCAGTTGTTTTCAGCTCTGGTTTTGTTTTTTATTTATTGTTACGACTGACCCCGAGGAGCACCCCGAATCTGAGTTTGCCCACCTTCCGGGCGTCCTTAGCATCAGTCCGCAGCCCGGGCCCGGCGTCGGAGGAGCATTGCCTGCGGCCCGGGCGCCCTGTCCTCACCTGCCCCTCCGGCTCCCCGCCGGGCCGGTGCTGCTCGCTGGCTGCCGTCGACTTGATTGCTCTTTGCCCTCCCGCTTCATCCACATCAGTGTTTTTGAATTGAAGTGCCATGGGCACACAGTAATTTATTTGGACCCTTCTGATGCTATTTCCCTGCGGGTCTGCACCCCCACCTTGCTTCTGTTGGACTTGCTCAGGCTTTCTGCTCCAGCCTTCCTAGACTTCTCCTTGGTGGGTGGGCATTTTTAACACGGTCCCAGCCCTTTCTTAGCCTCACTATCTGTTTCCTCTCTTCCTTAGTCACTCATTCAGTCATTCCCTCATTGATTTATTCATTTGTGTTTTTTTGGAGAAAAAAAGTCTGCCTGTCCTGAGCACTGAGGAGGCCAAGAGGTGTTGGTGAGCCCCCCTCCTGGGCTCATGGGGGCCTGAGACTAGTGGGATTCCGGACCGAGCTGGAGGGGCCCCTGACCTTGGTGAGGGGAGAGTGGCGGGTGTGGGGGGAAGAAGTGCTGCCTGGACAGGGGGCTGGAGGGTGAGCGGCTGGAGCAGGAAGGCGCGACTGGGCCTGTGGCGGTGTGCACACCTTTGCGCGTGTGCGCCGGTGTGTACCTGCGTGTGCCCCTCCCTGGGTGTCCGTGCCCCTGTGTGTGCCTGTGTGCACCTGTGTGTGATGGAGTTGGCAGGTGGGTCTGGACACAGCCAGGCGGGAGGGTCTGAACCTGTGATGTTGTTTATTTGCATTTCACCGTGAAGCTGGGGTCGCTTTGCTTCTTTAAATGTGTCTCCTCCCCCTGGCCAGTTTGGAAGCGTCTCTGTCCTTGGTTCCCTCCCCCGCATCCCCCTCTGGCCATGTTTCTGGAATCTTTGCACTTGAAGCTGGGGGCTCTGATCCAGTCTGTCCCAGTTTAGCGTCCCCTGCCTCCAGGTTCCGCTTTCTCCCGAATTCCTGATTTAGTTGGGATCAGTTAACGGTGCTTTTGGTCCAAGCCGCTGGTGAGTGCCACCAACATGCAAGGTGACGAGGGCCCTGGTGCCCTGACTCAGGTGAAGTGACGTTAAAGTGTAGACAGAAAAATGAGAAGTCGGCACGGCATGGCCTGGGGACAGAGCCCTCCAGGGGAAGGAGCCCAGTGGATTGTGAGGGGTGTCAGGCTCTGAAAGGACGGCTGGGGAGGTCTGCGGGCTGGCGGGAGCCTGGCTGTGTTGGAAGACTGCAGAGCTGGCCGTGGTCTGACTGAGGCTTTTCTCTGGAGATGAGGGGACCTGGGGTGGAGTTGAGTGGTCCGGGGTGGGGTGGGCTTGGTGGTGGGGAGCTGGCCAGTGGCGGAGCAGGAGGGAGAAGGGTGGGGCTCGGTGGGACATGTTTTAAGGTGGCAGAGAGGGTCCTGCTCTCGGGCTGGAGGTGGTGGATGAGGGCAGGGCCATCAGGAGGGGTCGTGAGGGCCGTGGCTGGGCTGGGGGTCGGGTGCCGTCCGCGGCGAGGGAGGACGGGGTTTGTCTGGGGCACCTGGAGCTCGAGAGCCCGAGAGGCAGGCACTCCACGCACGCGGCTGGGTATGGAACGGTACCTTTGGGGTGGAGACCGGAGCCAGGCTGGCCCCGCGCTCCCTCTTGCCCTCAGGCTAAACCTCTGAGGTCGTACTACTTTTGCCTAGATTTTGGCTTAAAATGAGGCATTTTCCTTGCAGCAGACTGAAGTTTTGAAGTCTTGGAGAGGGGTTAATGCAATTGCTGTCTGAATAACTTGATGTTGACTGCTGGACATCCGTAATACAAAAAAAAAAAAAAGAAAAAATCGCTTTGACACCAGGAATTTCTCTTCTTTCTTCTTTTAAATCTTACTTTGGCTGCACTGGGTCTTTGCTGCAGCGGCTTGGGCTTCTGTTGTGACACACGGGCTCAGCACTTAGCACACGCAGGCTCAGCTGCTCTGTGGCATGTGGGGTCTCAGTTCCCCGACCAGGGGTCGAACCCAAGTCCCCTGCATTGGAAGGCGAATTCTTTACCACCGGACCCCCAGGCAAGTCCCTCGCAGAGACTTTTAAAACAAGAGCTCGTGGAGGCCACGGGACACTTCAGTGCTCTCTTGTCACTAAACGATAAGCCCCAGGCCCTCCCCTGATTAAACAGTCTTCAGGGTTTGATCGTGTGGATGTAATGCAGTTTACTTGGCTGCCCCCTGTTGTTACAGATCTGTGTTTTCCAAAACTTCCCCACTAAACGCAGCCTTAAATGTGCCGGGGCTCGCGTCTTTGCCGTTATTTCTTGGAATATTTATTGGCGGTAAGAGGATCACTTCAAAGAGTATGACTGTTGCTTAAGACATGATCACGGTGTCTTTTTTCACTTGTTAAAGTCAAGCATCTGTGTTTCCACGTCCATGTCCGTTTTCTGTGCTGCTTTTACTGTGAGGATGTTTGTATTTGCGGGAAGGCTTCTCGGCTTAGACCGTTGGCCGCTGTCGTGCTGGCGGGTGGGTGGACGCCCCCTGGGCGGTAGGCACGCTGTGGGGGCCAGTGGGTGTGGGGCACGAAGCGCTCGGTGGTTCAGTCTCACCGTGACCTGCAGGGGGAGAGGTTTGCCCTTTCACAGCCGGGGTGATGGGGCTCAGAGGGCCCTGCTGAAGGCAGGCTCAGCTCAGCGGAGGAGTCAGCGTTTGAAGCCAGGCAGTCTGGCTCCGGGACTCACGCTCCCAGCCTCGACAAGAACTCTGCTGCTGCTAAAGAAGGGTGACCCTCCGGGTCAAAGCAGCCCTTCCAGAGAGCCGCACGTAGTTACCCCTGTTTCTCTTTATTTAGTGGTTTCCGTATTCCACTCTGTGTTGGAGGAGAAGCAGCGGCACCTTTTTTATTGCCTTTTTTTCTGCCCTTTCGGACGCTGTGTCTGTGCTTTTGCAGAGGGTCCGAGGACCAGACTTGCTCTTCTCTGTCTCCTGCTGCTTTCAGAGGAGGCGGCTGGGGTTACCCCTGGGCCTCCTTGCCCCTTGGCGTCCTGCGAGGAGCAGCTGACGGTGGCCCTGTTCCGGCCCTGCCCGCCCCGCTTCTGCACGCGGGCTCAGTGACACATTCCTTGCAGGGTGCCGGGGCGCCGAGGTGAGAGGAAGGCTGGGCACCCGGGCCGCTGGCCTGTCGTGTGCTCACTGCTTGTCAAGCCTGGACGCATTCTCGAACCGTCAAAGCAGTAGCCAGTGTTTTCTCAGAGTGGGAGGACTGTAATAATCATTACAGCAGATTCATGCATGTCGCAGGCGTGTCTCAGCCCCGGCCACCTGCTCGCTGGCTCCTCGAGCACCCTGGATGCTGAGGAGATGGATTAGGAAACAGCGCGTTGCCTGCCTGAGATGCGTCTGTCATTTCTGAGCTGGCGGGTCTGCTCCGAGGAGTTTCCCTACGTCACTCGACGTGCGAGCCGCACCCCGCTGGGTCTGCTCTGCTTTAATCTCTCCATGTGTGTCCAGCAGCTTCTGAGTGAGGGGGCCTCGGCCGTCCCCTCACTCTGCTCAGCGACGCTCAGCTTCCCTGCGCGTGGGCCATGCAGAGGACTGTGTTGAAGGAGCCCAAAGCCGTTACTTTCTTTTGCCCTGATCGTGTTAGTTACCACAGGTTCAAGTTTATTGAGAGCCTCTGCTGGGCCCCTCATGTGTGTGATCACACAGGTAACGTCAAGACTGCTCTTTCCTGGATCCAGGGAGGCTGTGGACAGCAGTTTCCTGGGGCCAGGCAGCTGTCTGGTTCCAAGTATCCATTATATCTTCTAGAAGGAAGTGATAGTCGCTCAATCATGTCCGGCTCTTTGCAATCCCTTAGACTGTAGCCTGCCAGGTTCCTCTGTCCGTGGACTTCTCCATCCAAGAGTACTGGAGTGGGTTGCCATTCCCTTCTCCAGGGGATCTTCCCAACCCAGGAATCGAAGCCAGGTCTCCCACGTTGCAGGCAGATTCTTTACCAGCTGAGCCACCAGGGAAGCTCCTATTTTGTCTTCTGGGAAAATCCCTAATGACCCCTTTGGCCCAACCTGTGCACGTTGAGGCCGCCATGTCCAGGATGGTTCCTGGCCCTTGGTTTATGTGCAGGTAATTGTCGAATGAATAAATGGAAAGACACAATCAGCTTTAGCTTTTTCCTCTTTTTTTCCTTTTTTTTAGTGTGTGTGTGAGAGATTAGCTCACTGTAAAACCTGTTTTCCTTCTTTTGCCAGAAAGCCATCAACAGAGACTCCTGCCTCTACGGCGTTGTAGAGTTGATTGACATGGTTCTTTGTCCCTGGAAAGCAAATTGTATTAAAATGCTTCTTGCGATTTATTTATAAGTTACACGGTTCAGCAGTGCTGTTTGGCTGGCACTGTGTTCTGCCGTGGCCTTCATGCACGCCCGCTCCCGCCTGGCCCGCACCCCGGCCTGAGGGCTCTGACCTCGTGGAGGCGGGGGAAGGACCTGGCTCCGTACCCTCTGGTGCCCACTTCCGGTGAAGGCCCCCGGCGTGGTGTCCGGGCCGGCTTGGGCCGTGACCCTGGGCTCCCGTGCAGCCTGAGCGGGCTGCGGAGGAGGGGTCATGCCCGCGGCCTTGTCCCTGCTGCTGGAGGCCATGTATCTATAACGTGCCTCCTCCCCCCGCCACCCCACGCCCATCCTGAAGACGCTCCGACCACCAGAACCCGGTTAGAATCTCCCTGGTGGTCCAGTGGCTAAGAGCTTCCAGAGCAGGAGGCCTGGGATTGATCCCCGGTCAGGGAACTAGATCCCACATGCTGCAGTGAAGACCCGGTGAAGCCAAATAAGTAAATGTGCTCAGCCGCTTCAGCTGTGTCTGACTGTGAGCCCGTGGACTGTAGCCCGCCACTCCTCTGTCAATGGGATTCTCCAGGCCAGAGCACTGGCGCGGGTAGTCATGCCTTCCTACAGGGGAGGCCATGGCTTCACTAGGGCCGGGCCGTCTTATCCACACAGCAAGCTAGCAGACGGGGCGGAGCTAAAGCGCCTGCAGTTCTTCCTGCCGGCTGGTGACAGCGGCTTTCCCTCTCCTGCTCCCAGCCCCTGACACCGCCCCCCATCCCCAGACAGTCTTCAGGCCCGTGTCTGTCTCAGCAGACCCCGCCCCCGACCCCTCCTGTGCCCTCACTGGATCACAAGTGCCCTGGGGGCAGGGTTCCCTGAGCTCCTGTGCCCCCGAAACGTGGGGCAGACCCTCCTCCGGCTGCGTTGAGAGCGGTGATGGGAAGCACTTGTTGCGCCTGATTCCTCCCTCCCGCACCCCCGGACTAGTAACTGTATATAAAGGAGGGTCCCCTGGAGAAGGGAGCGGCTCCCGCTCCAGTATGCTTGGACTCCCCTGGTGGCCCCGATGGTAAAGAGTCTGCCTGCAGTGCAGGAGACGCAGGTTCGATCCCTGGCTTGGGAAGATCCCCGGGAGAAAGGGAATGGCTACCCACTGCAGTGTTTGAAGAAGGCAGTGGCACCCCACTCCAGTATTCTTGCCTGGAAAATCCCATGGATGGAGGAGCCTGGTGGGCTGCAGTCCATGGGGTCGCTAAGAGTCGGACACGACTAAGCGACTCCACTTTTCACTTTTCACTTTCACTCATTGGAGAAGGAAATGGCAACCCACTCCAGTGTTCTTACCTGGAGAATCCCAGAGACGGGGGAGCCTGGTGGGCTGACGTCTATGGGGTCACACAGAGTCGGACACGACTGAAGCGACTTAGCAGCAGCAGCAGTATTCTTGCCTGGAGAATCCCATGGACAGAGGAGCGTGGTGGGCTACAGTCCATGGGGTCGCAAAGAGTCGGGCAGAACTGAACAAGTAAACAACCACAGAGCAACAGCAAAGGTGATAAAGTTTAAAAAACCCAAAAAGGGAGCCTTGTGGTTTCTCTGGGAAGGAAGGTGAAGGATCGAGAGATGAGGCCAGGAGCCTGGGAACGGTCTGCTGCCCTCTCAGGCGCTCACGTCCTGCTTGCCAGAGCATCCTCTTGGTGAGTGCTGCCCGCTCCCTGGGGAAGCCTGGGTGTCTGCTGCCTGCCTCTGACCCTGCCACGCGGCCGGGCCGGTTCAGAGTCTCGCCGTCTCTGTTGGCCTGCGCCGTTCTGCGAGGCTGCTGTCTGGCCTTCTTGTGTGGTTCTCTCTGCCTGCCTACCTTCCACGTGTAGTCTTATGACAGCACCTGTCTGCATGTGTTAGCTCCTGTTTCAGAGCCTTTGATTGGCTGCCGTGGTTCAAGGGTGAAGGTCAGAGGCCACTGCCCTGTCTGGCCTCGGCCTGCCCTCTTGCCTCGTCCCCAGGCTGCTGTCTGCCTCTCACATCCTCAGCCCCATGGGCTCATCTCTCTGAATGTGCCTCTCACTCACACACAAACAACCGCTGACATCCGGGCACACGACCTGCAGGCCAGGCCCTGAGTGCTTCATGAATCTTATGTCATGGTTGAAACAGCCTCGATGGTGGGTCCTGCTGTTATCCCCATTTCAGCCAAGGCGCTGGAGGCTCTGGAGTGGCCGGCAGAGTCCCTGAGGTTACGTTCTCACCAAGTTGCCTGACCGGGATTCCAGGCAGGACGGGTCCCTGACCTTCTACGGTGTCCCCCGGCCCCGACTCCAGCCTCCCTGCCTCTGCTGATGGGCTGGGCTCCCCTTGTGATCACCGAGCCCCAGGCCACACAGAATCCCCTCTCCCCTCCCGGCGGGGTGCACGGTGCACTCAGACTCAGTCGGGAGGCACTTAGGAAGCCTGGGAGCATTTTGGGCCCTCACGTCCCTCGTGGCCTGGGGTGAGTGGGGATCTCATGCAGAATGCCTCTCTGCTTCTTTCTTGCCAGCTCTGTGGCTTTCATGAAGTCATCTCTGTTTTTCCTGCTGATTAGAGACAGAACTCTTAGAACTGACTTTCTCGCATGGAGAGAATACATCTCCTTAACATTGCTGCCAAATTAATACTGCATCTGCAAGGCCAGAGAAAAACCGAGTTAAGAGGATCTTCCTGCATAATTTATGAGAGGCTGAGTCATAGAATGAGCATTTACAATGGCCTGTTTGCCCAAGGTAGGGAGTGATAATGCAGCTATTAGTCACCGTGTTGGGGACAGTGGCGTTTATGTGCCTCCTCAGGCCTCCTGCCTCTTACTTAGTCCATCTGTAGATCTCTGGGGCCGTCTCCAGCCTCTCTTTCCACTATTGGCTCTCTTACTGTTTGGGGGTCAGAGCTTTGAAACTCAGTGTTATGTGTTCAGACGGAAATGATGTTATGAAAACTGAAGGACGGCAGCCCTCCAGGCTCCTCTGTCCGTGGGATTGTCCAAGTGAGCCTACTGGAATGGGCTGCCATTTCCTCCTCCAGGGGACCTTCCTGACCCGGGGTTTGAATCTGTGTCTCCTGCATTGCAGGTAGGTTCTTCACCAGTGAGCCGTCTGGGAGGCCCAATCAATCGAATTTCTAAATGGTGAAGCCTTAGAACAGCCTGCAGATGAGCAGTTTGCGTGCCCGCTGTGCCAGGCACCGTGAACAGAGCGGGGGTGGGCATGAAGGCGAGCAGGACAGGCCTTGTTCCTCGGGTGCTGCCTGTTGCCAGAGAGACAGGTCGTGTCCCGGACAGCACGGGCGCGGTGCCTGCGGGCAGAGAAGGGTCCAGAGAGTGGGCGGCACACAGGGCACAGCCTCTTCACGGGGAGAAAGTACTGGAGCCCCCATCTTTGGGGCTGTGTGCAGGCGTCGCAGGGGTCAGCAAGCTGTGCTGGAGGTGGGGCAGGCACGCCCGCTGGGGCGAGCGGCCAGAGGCGTCCTCCCCCATGCCTGTCCACCCTCCTCCCGTTGCCCCGGCTCCGGGGGGCAGGCCCGCCTTTGCCGTCGAAAGACGAGCAGCATCGCAGCTCCGCCAGCAGTCCTCGGGTCTCCAGCCCCTCTGGGCCTGTTCTCAGCGTGGACAGCGTGAGCCCGGGCCTGGCGGGAGCCCTGGGTGCCTCTTAGGACTTTCGCCAGGACAGGGTAGCCAGGGCCAGGCCAGCCTCAGCGGAGCGGCATACCCAGCCCTTTCCTGTGAAGCTGTCACGCCCCTTGCCGGGCGGCCTGGCTGCAAGGTTCCCCAGAGGGTCGGCTGCTGGGGGAGGCTGGGCCCGCGGTGCAACGGGCCGGAAGGGAGGAGGCCGGGCTGACCCAGCAGGGTGGCAGAGGAATAAGGCAGGAGAGGTGTCTCAGCGGGAGCGTCGCCGCCAGGACTTGGGGGCCCGTGGAGCCGGCGGCCTTGTTGCTGGGTCCTGGCGCTGGCCGGGTGGCAGGATGTCACTGGGGAGGAGGGCGCGTCAGGGGAGCGGGCCGGGGCGCGGGACGTCTGCCTCCGGGCGTGTGGCATCGTGAGGACTGAGGCGGCGGGGAGGTGACCCAGCGTCGCCCGTGGGGGCGAAGCCGCGGCCAGAGGGCGCAGAGCCTGCCCCGACCTGCGCGTGGGGGCACGTGGCTCCAGGCGGCTCCAGGCGGCCTCTGCTTTGACCTCCAGCGGGTCCTCCTGAGTAGCTTCCCTCGCCCACCGTTTCGCTGAATAGTGGAGAGCGCAGAGGTGAGGACCCGCCTCAAGGTCGTGCAGACAGCGGGGCTGCGCTTGCCGTCGAGGGCCTGTGCTCGGGGTGCAGGGCGCCTGCCCCCACCACACGGCCGGGTCCTCCCGGGACAGGGCCCTCCTGGAGTCCGTCCTCTGGTTCATAGCTAGCGGATAATGAAATTTTGTTTTTCGCAGTTTTTCAAGTGAGTTCACACCCATGGTCTGATTGAAAAAGTAATTAGTATCAGATGAGTGCTCACACGGCCCCCTGACACGGCGCCGGGCCAGGGACAAAGCAGCAGTGTGTCTGTGATCTCTGATTTATGGCCGCCCGTGCCTGGCGGGCTCTGGGCAGGAGGCTGTAAATAAAATTAAAATAAATGGAAACAATGCACCTATAAATTGTGTCGCAGGAACCTCCAGTTGCCTTTTAGAGGAAACCCCCAATAAGACGGTGTTTGGCAATTCGTCTGAAGGAGAAGGGGCAGTCGATCATGGTGGCAGAGTCAGTAAAGTGAAGGGCAGACTGCGTTGCTGGAATATTTTAAGTGTGAAAACGAGCAGACCCCCCTGAAACGCGCCGTTTGGCGTTGGCTGTGTTGGAGCGTCCTGGGTGCGTCCTTGCTAATGGGGTCGAGTCTGCAGTGGAAACTGCGGGGTGTGTAGGGATGCCAGTGCTTCTGTCGTCCATTTTCTTTTCCAAGTCAGCCCCCTGGGCTGGGGTTGTGGAGGCTGGTGGGGCTGCTTTTGAGGGAAATGCAGGGCGCGGCCCCCCTGCAGACAGGTGCTCCGGGGCCTGCAGGCAGTCCTCAGAAGGAGCTGTTGTCTTGCACACAGAGAAATCACTTTGTCTGTTGGAAATCTTGCTGCGTTTAGATGAAAGTTGTCTCTCTTATAATCTAAGAGAAAGGTTAAAAAAAATAGGCTGTCCATTTTAATAAAATATTTTATGAAAAGATTGACTTTAAAAAAGTTGTCTGATGCTTATTCTGCTGAAACAAAGTGAAGTGAAAGTGAAGTGTTAGTCGCTCAGTTGTGTCCGACTCTCTGTGACCCCGTGGACTGTAGCCCGCCAGGCTCCTCGGTCCATGGGATTCTCCAGGCAAGAAGACTGGAGTCCATTCCCTTTCTCCAGGGGATCTTCCCGACCCAGGGACTGAACCCGGGTCTCCTGCATGGCAGGCAGCTTCTTTACCGCCTGAGCCCCCAGGGAATCCGGGAGTGAACGATGACTACTGCTGACCCTTTCTCGGGGACAGAGGCCCCCCAGGCGTCTCTTGTGTGCTGTGCCTTTGTCGTTTCTCCTGGGCTCTGCAAAGAACGGGGCAGGGGTGGGGGCAGGTTGCGGGGAAGGGCGCAGGGCTCGTCTCCTGCTAAAACGTGCTGGGCTTTCTCTTCCAGGATGAGTTTAAGGGTGAATGGAAGCCCAGAGGGAAGAGAACACACAGGTGCTCTGAGACCTGGCCGAATGGAGAAGGGGTCCCTGAGGCTTGGGCGGGTTTGAGGGCGGACAGTTCATCTCAGTTAAGGCTGTTTTGCGTTGCTGTGAACACACACTCACATTAGTCTCACTCTGTCTCAGTTTTATGTATGTGCTAATGAGGCAGAATTTAGAATTCCTGTTTGCTCTGCGTAAAGGCACTTGGAAGTTGCTCCATCGTGTCTGACCCTGTGACCCCACGGACCATACAGCCCACGGGATTCTCCAGGCCAGAATACTGGAGTGGGTAGCTGTTCCCTTCTCCAGGGGAGAAGTAAAAGCACTTTCGTGACTTTTTTTTTCTCTCTTGGCTGCAACTGCATCTTGTGGGATCTTAATTCCCCAACCAGGGATCGATCCCAGGCCCCTGCAATGGAAGCCTGGAATCCTAACCACTGGACTCACAGGGAGGTCCCACCACGTTCGTTCCTTGTACCTCGGTTGACTGTCCTTGGGGAAGCTAGGTTGTTTGGTGTTGAAGGTCTCATTAGCTCAGGCCTCACTGTAAGCACCCTTGAATTGTAGACAGAGCACGCGGACTGAGACGGGGGCGTGGCAAGTGCCCGGCTGCCGTCAGTCTCCTAACGGCCTCGCGAGGTTGGCCGCTGGGCGCTGGCCCCGGCTGCCAGCCCCCTGGCCCGGGCTGAGCCCGCAGTGCATTGCGCGCGGGCCCCGGGCCTTACCTGCAGGCCCTGAGCCCCTGCCCTGTCCTCGCGGACTTGGCTCCGAGGGAGATGAGGCTCCAGGAGCAGGCGGGGGAAGGCTGCACCTGCAGGGGAGGGAGGGGCGGGCTGGCTGGCTGAGAACACTTTCTCCAGGAGGAGGTGACAGCTGGGCAGAGAAGTCTGAGCTCCTCTAGGTGGTGATCTGGTGGTACTTCAAAGAAGCAGGCAGCTCTGGAGCCGTGAGAAGTTTGGTTCCTCTGGCCTGAGTGAGGCAGCCGCTCTGGCTCATGAGGGGAAGGCCTTCTTTCTCTGGGCTGCATCAGCCCGAGCCTGGGTCCAGGGGCCCGGAGGGAGGGATCCAACTGCAGGCCTCTTAGCTTTGTTTTTTTTTAAAGTGTGTCATAGTCTTTTCTTTTTTATAAATTGAAGCATCACTGACCTCCAGCATTGTTAGTTCCAGGCACACAACATAGTGATTTGATATTTGTATGTATTAGAAAGGGCTTCCCTGATAGCTCTGCTGGTAAAGAATCCGCCTGCAATGAGGGACATCTGGGTTTGATCCCTGGGTTCGATCCCTGGGTTGGGAAGATCCCCTGGTGAAGGAAAAGGCTACCCACTCCAGTATTCTAGCCTGGAGAATTCCATGGAGTGTGTAGCCCATGGGGTTGCAAAGAGTTGGACATGACAGAGCAACTTTCACTTTTGGGGCTTTCCATGTAGCTCAGCTGGTAAAGAATCTGCCTGCAATACAGGAGACCCCAGTTTGATATGTTATATTATAATTTATATGTATATACTATGAAACATTATATCACTATATATATATTATATGCGTTTTATAGAACGATCGCTGAGGTCAGTCTAGCTCCTGCCTGCCACCGTGCAGGGTTATTACAGTGCTTTTTACTCACGTCCTGTGCCGTACATTTCATCCCGGTGCCTCCTTTATTTTAAAACTGCAGGTTTGTATCTCTTGATCTCCATCATCTGTCTCACTCTTCCTACCTCCTCCTGTCTGTTAGTTCTCTTTAAGAGTGTTTCTGTTTTGTTACGTTTGTTCATTTGTTTTGTTCGTTGGAAATAAGTCTTGGTCTGACTTGTTTTACTCAGCGTAGTGCCCTTTAGGTCTGTCCATGTAGTTGCAAGTGGCAAGATCGCATTCTTTCTTATGGCTGAGTAGTCACCCGTTGTACACATGCAGCACATCTTCTTATCCGTTTGTCTGTTGATGGGCACTTAGATTGCTTCCATATCTTGGCCGTTGTAAATAATGCTGCAGCGAGCCTGGGGTGCACTTATCTTTTCAAATTAGCATTTCTGTTTTGTTTGGGAAAATGCCCAGAAGTGGAATATCTGGATTGTATGTTAGTTCTGTTTTTAATTGTTTGAGGACCCTTCACTTTGTGCCAAATCGCATCCCCACTGCACCACCAGCCATGAGGGTCCTCCATATCCTCGCCAGCACTTGTCATTTGTTGTCTTTTTGATAACACCCATTTTAACAGAGGTGATACCTCGTTGTGGTTTTGATTTGCATTTTCCTGGTCATTGGGGATAAGCATCTTTTCATATGCCTGTTGGCCATCTGCATTTTCTCTTTGGAAAAAATGTCTATTTAGTTTCTCTGTCCATTTTGAGTTTATTTTTCTATATTTTATGAGAAAGTAACACAGTTTCGTTCTTTTGCATGTAGTTATGCACTTTCCCCAACACCATTTATTGAAGAGTCTGTCTTTTCCCTATTGTAATTCTTGCCTCCTTCATTGTAGTTTAATTGGCCATATAAGTGTGGGTTTATTTCTGGGCTCTCTTTTCTGTTCTGTTGACCTAAGTTTCTCTGTTTGTGCCAGTGCAATACTGTTTTGATTCCTGTAGCTATTATGTAGTGTAGTTTAAAATCAGGGTGCACCATACCTCCAACTTTGTTCTTTCTCCACATTGTTTTGGTTGTTGGTAATCTTTTGTATTTCCATACAGATTTAAAAATTATTTATTATAGTTCTGTGCAAAATGCCATTGGTACTTTGATAGGGATTGCATTGAATCATAGATTGGGAATATGGTCATTTAAATTACACTGATTTTTCCAATCTATGAGCACTTACATCTTTCCATTTGTTTGTGTTGTCTTCAATTTATTTGATCAATATATTGTAGTTCTTCAAGTATAGGACTTTTTTTTACCTCCTTGGTTAGCTTTATGTCTAGGTTTTTTTTTTTTTTGGATGCAGTTCTAAATGGGATTGTTTCCTTAATCTCTCTCTTACAATTTCTTTTTAGTGTATAGAACTATAACAGATATTTGCATATTAATTTTGTGTCCTGCAACTTAAATGAATTCATTTATTAGTTCTAAGAGTTTTTTTGTAGCATCTTAGGGTTTTCTATATAGTGTTATGCCATCTACAAATAGTGACAGTTCTACTTCTTCCTTTCCTATTTGGATTCCTTTCCTTTTATTATTTTTCTTGTCTTGTTGCTGTGGCTAGGAGTTTTAATACTATGTTGAATGAAAGTGGCAAGAGTGGACATCATGGTCTTATTTCTCACCTTAGACGAAACGCTTTCAACTTTTCATCACTGACTGTGATGTTGGCTGTAGGTTTTTCATATATGACTTGTATTATGTTGAGGTATGTTCTGTTTATACCCACTTTGTTGAAATTTTTTTTACTATAAGGGGTTGTTGAAGTTTTTCAAAAGCTTTTCCTATTGAGATGTTCAATATTTTATTGAGATGATCAAGTTTTTATTTTTCAATTTGTTAATGTGGTATATCACATTGATTTGCAGATATTGGACCATCCTTGTATATCTGGGCTAAATCTCACTTGATAATGTTTGTGATCCCTTTAATATATTGTTGAATTTGGGTGGTTAGTATTTTGTTGAGGACTTTTGCATCCGTGTTCACCAGTGATATTAGCCTGTAATTTTCTTTTCTTTCTTCCTTGCTTCCTTTTTTTTTTTTGTGAGGTCTTTGGTTTTGGTATCAGGGTGATATTGGCCTCATGAAAAAGGTTCAGAAGTTTCTCCTTCAATTTTATGGAATAGTTTGAAAAGGATCAGTGTGAACTCCTCTGGTGGCTCAGACGGTAAGGGATCTGCCTGCAATGCAGGAGACCCGGCTTTGATCCCTGGACTGGAAAGATTCCCTGGAGAAGGGAATGGCTACCCACTCCAGTATGTCTTGCCTGGAGAATTCCATGGACAGAGGAGCCCGGTGGGCTGCCTGGGGTCACAAGGAGCTGGGCATGACTGAGGGACTAACACTTTCCGTTCTCACTGACTCTTGTTTAAATGTTAGGAGGAATCCACCTGTGAAGCATTCTGGTCCTGGATGTTGTTTCTTGGGAGTTTGATGATTATTGATTCAGTTTCATTCTGGTAATCTGTCTACTCATATTTTTTGTTTCTTTCTAAGTCAGTCCTGGGAGAGTGTGCATTTCTTGAAATTTATCTATTTCTTCTAGGTTGCCCATTTTATAGTCATATGATTGTTCACAGTCATCTCTTGTGATCCTCTTATTTCTGTGGTGTCAGTTGTAACCTCTCTTTCCTTTCTGACTTTATTTGGGCTCTCTTTTTTTTTTTTTCCTGGATGAGTCTGGCTAAAGTTTTACCAATTTTATCTTTTCAAAGAACCAGCTCTCTAGTTCCACTGATCTTATTTGGGTCACACTTGCAGGTTTCAAGATCTCAGTTCCCCTCTGGGGGATGGAACTCAGGTCTCAGGTCATAGCGGTGAAAGTGCCAAATCCTAACCGCGAGACCACCAGGGAACCCCCTCACCGATCTTCTCTGTTGTGTTTTGGTTTCTTATTTCATTTGTTTCTGCTGCGGTCTTTATTATTTCTTTTCTCCTACTCACTTAACGGGTTTGTGGGTAGGAGCACTTTCCGAGCTGATGGGCAGCATGGATGATCGTCCGTGTGCCCAGGTCGGTGCCCAGACAGCTTTGTTTATGCACTCGGCAGTGGGTGTGGCGCCTGGATGACATGGGCGCTGTGTGGTGTGCAGGGCACATGCTTCTGAGAAGATGGCGGGGAGAGGAAGTTGGGGCTAGGGTTGCTGGGACCGCCGGGTCCCAGTCCTCTCTGAGCGTCTGTCAGGCCCAGGGGATGCTGTGTGTACCTGGAGCACTTGGTGGGAGGTGCATTTCGCCTTGCCTGTTCAGCATGATGTCTCTGGATTTTGAGACATGGCCCTCTTCATCCTAGCTCTGCAACTTGAGCAGGGTCTTGTCCTCCGCACACTTCACGTCCTTATTGGTGAGACGGTCCGAGGGCTGTGGTGGCTCAGGGCACAGGCGCTGGGCCGGTTCTGCTGGGGGCGGTGGTGGTGGGGAGGGCGGTGAAGATCACTGGCTTCTCTGCGCCTCCGTGTCCACCTCTGTTGGGTGGGAGTAATGACCCCTGTCTCCTTGGCTGGTTCCGAGCGTTAGTGCTCACGCAGCGGCTCTCGGGATGGTTCATGCGCAGAGGAGCGCGCAGAGGGGCACGCAGCCACTCTTCGCCATTATTGTTATCATTATGTGCCTTTTTATGGGAGTAGCGATCACCACCTTGCAGAGACGAAGGCGGCAGCGGGCAGGAAGTGGCTGGCACAGATGGCGCTCTGTGAGCCGTCCGTCCGGGGACGCCACGTGGCTGCCGGACCCTCTGCTGTGCTGCGCTGCTGTCTCGCAGGCTAGCCGCGTCCTGTCATCGAGCTGCCAAAAGACGTCCCCTTGTCATCTGCATAGAGGAGCGCGCGGGGGCTGCAGCCACGTTGGGAGGCGGGCTGGGGCTGGGGGTCCTTCGTTCTGTGGGTGACTCCTAGAGCCTTCTGGAAAGCTCTCTGTGGAGGGGCTGTATCATTACCATTTGTTTTGAGGGTGAGGGGGTTACTGTTAGCGGGTAAAGAGGGGCACGCAGGGGTGAACCAGGCACCTGGCATGCCTGGCAGCCTGGTTCTCTGGGCTGAAGTGGGGTCCCGCCTCGCTGGTAGTAAAGGGGGGAAGTTGCGTCTTGTTCCGAGATGATTCGCCCGTGAGAACAAGTGCTCTGCAGGAAGCAGCTGCTCTTGGCTCCCTGGGTCTGCGGGATGGCCCCCGTGTGTCAGCAGGGATGGGACGCTGCCCACCCGTGTCAGTGAGGATAGGACGGCTGCCCCCATTCGTCAGACAGAGCTGTGTCTGCAGACTGTCATGCCCAGTTAGCATTTGGGGAGGCGTCCAGTAACCCCAGGCCAGGCGCCCATGGGCTGTCCAGTCCTGTCCAGTCCTGACGGCGGTGCACCGCTGCGGGCCTGGTGGGATGGCTGGCCTTGTGTGGGCTGAACGTGAGGCGCTCTGGGCCCCGTATCCAAGGCTGTGGCCTGGGAGGCCCCATGAGCTGCTGTTGAGAAAGGAACCCCCAGCTGTGTGCCGCCTCCTCCATTTCCCTTCCCACTTTTGAGAAGTTTATCAGCTTAGTTGCGAGGCTTCCGGGCAGCCCCGTCCCCCTCCACTGATTCCCCCACACCGAGCGTTCCGTACGCACCTCCCGTGTGCCGGGTGGGGGCGGCGGCCCCGGTCCTGAAGCTGAGGACGGAGCCCCGTGGTGAGCAGCTGCACCGGCTCGTCAGTGTGGGCGGCGCTGAGACAGGAGCGGGGAGGTGGGATGGACGCAGGGGGCGTGGGGTTGGCGGAGCTTGTGCGGTCGGGGTGGACTGTCCGGGAGCCCAGCACAGCTGCCGCGGAGGGGGCGGGGCTGCGGCTGGGGCGGCCCTGGACCGGGCTGCTGGGCTCAGGTTCCGCCCGGGCCTCCGTGGGGTCTGTGTCTGAGACCCTCCCCGGTCGCAGACGTGACGAAGCCACCGCCCCTACCTGTCAGCGCTGTGGGGGTTGATGCCCCAGCGAGGCGGGGCTGCAGTCTGAGCGCTGTCACGGGCTCGTCTCCCCAGTGAGCCTCCTGAGTGCAGGGCAGGAGAGGGGGCTGGCGTGGCAGGCCTGGACTGTCCCGGGGGCGCGGCGTCCTCTCTTGGAGAGGAGGTATGGGGCAGGTGGTCTCGAAGGTCCCCCCTGGTGTCAGGAGGTGATTCCTGGGGGCTTCCGCTCTGGCGCCGTCTGGGCAGCAGAGCGCCTGTGGGCCTGTCGCCCCGGGCCCTGAGTCCCTGGTCTGGGGTTCCCGCCTCGCCTGCGGGCAGCTCTTGGTGCCATCAGAGTGCCCTCTGGTGCAAGCTTCAGTTTGCTCATCAGTGGAGGGAAGAGCGTGGGCTTCCCTGGTGGCGCTCGTGGCAAAGAACCCTCCTGCCTCTTCAGGAGGCACAAGAGACGCGGTTTGATCCCTGGGTCGGGAAGATCTGGAGGAGGGCCTGGCCACCCACTCCAGTGTTCTTGCCCGGAGAATCCCCTGGACGGAGGAGCCTGGGGGGCCCCAGTTTATAGGGTCGCATAGAGTGGGACGCGACTGAAGTGGCTGCGCCTGCGTGCGTGGAGGAAAGGGCACGAACTGAGGTGTCAGGACTTTTAGGGAGTCATTTTGGGAGCGATGCCGCCTCTCATCTGAGCTGCTCGGGGCCGTCTCCGTGTCTGCGTCGGACGGGAGGGCGTCTGTGCTCAGGTGCCCGATGCCGTTTCCAGTCCTCTACATGGGCTCCTGGCTACGTGTTTGTTCCATTGAGAAGATTAAGGGCAGTATTTGGTTGAAAAAATTTTAATGAAGCACCTAACAGTGCTGTTACTCATAGTGTTGCTGGGGTAACCATAGTAATATTAAACCTCTTATTGAATATTTTCCCTGCTCGTCCGACGTCAGCGTCTGCTCCGTGCTGATGGGGGAGCTGCAGCCCCACGAACCTGGCGCCTGGGAAGAATTTTCTAGCTCTGTGGAGTTAAATCATTCAGGGAATTTATGTTATAGGAACATAAAGCTTATAAATCTAGTTTATCATATCTATCATTTAATTGTTCATGCAAGCTAGCTCTTCATGTAGCGATTTACAGTAATCTCAGTGAAATAGCAGTTTTCTGTCACAAAATGAATAATGCATGCAAAGAAATTGTTGAGCTCCTTAAAATCATTATGCTCAAAATATTAGGCCCTCTGATTTGAAAGTGATAGAATGATGATCGTGTGTTAGCTGCAAGCTGGGGGCCTCAGAGTGTGGCTCAGGCGCACCCGGGACGGGCCGTCTCTGGGAGGACCGTGCCGCTCACCGCGGTCACACTGCAGTCAGCAGCTGCCGGGGAGCGGCTGCGACGCGGCCACGGGTTCTGGGCGGGCCAGAGCGCTGGTTCAGAGGAGGAAGCTCTGTTTGAAAGATACGACGCTCTTCAGACATCTGTCTGTCTGGGACGAGACAGACGGACCTTGCCTCTGGGCCTTGTTGCCAGGCAGACTCGCAGAGTGAGCCCCGAGCGGTCAGGAAGGGAGACCGCGTCCAGGGCTCCTCCCTCCTGTCACACGTGTGTGTCAGCAGCACGCGTGCACCCCGCTGTGGGCGCGGCCGCCGCCCCAGTCCTAAGGCAGACTCGCAGAGTGTGCCCCGAGCGGTCAGGAAGGGAGACCGCGTCCAGGGCTCCTCCCTCCTGTCACACGTGTGTGTCAGCAGCACGTGTGCACCCCGCTGTGGGCGCGGCCGCCGCCCCAGTCCTAAGGCAGACTCGCAGAGTGAGCCCCGAGCGGTCAGGAAGGGAGACCGCGTCCAGGGCTCCTCCCTCCTGTCACACGTGTGTGTCAGCAGCACGTGTGCACCCCGCTGTGGGCGCGGCCGCCGCCCCAGTCCTAAGGTGAACCAGGGGTCTGCCCCTGGCTTTGCAGCGCGTCTCCACCCGTGTGTGTGTGTTTCCTCGGCCCCCCGAGGAGACGCGGTCTCCCGCCTGAGCCTCGGGCACGTGAGCATGCGCACTGCATGGGATGCTGAGGTCGGAGGAGGCAGTTCTTGGGGCCTGGGGGTTCACGGGGGCAGCTCCTTGCCGGAAGGGGGAGGGCTCCGCTGCCCGGGAGATGCACGTGGGTCTCCAGGCCGGGACCGGGATCCATCACGGTCAGCAGGGCCGTGCCACCGTCCCTCACGCTTTGACACAGGTGTGTCACGGAACCTTTCAGACATCGAAGAGGTGGAGAAGGCAGGGCCACGCAGCCAGCTCGCTGTGTCCCAGACCCCGCGGTCATCACGGCTCAGGCGGACTAGCTTCTTCTTCTTCCCCCTGGCCGCAGCATTTCAGAGCAGATCCCACGCGTCATGTCGTCTCACCTCGCCACGCTTCAGGCTGCGTTCCAAGAAGAAAAGCTGTCCTGCCGTTCTAAGCTTGGTGCTGGCGGAGAGGCCCAGGCAGTCATCTCCCCCGCCGACCCGAGCCCGTCTGGCGGAGAGGCCCAGGCAGCCTTCTCCCCTACCGACCCGAGCCCGTCTGGCGGAGAGGCCCAGGCAGTCTTCTCCCCCGCCGACCCAAGCCCGTCTGACCCGGATTGCGTCTCGTGGGCCCCGGGCCTCCATGGGAGCCGGTGACCCTGATGGCCAGCTGGACGGACAGCCTTGCAGCTTAGAGGGCCGGAGTTGCAGAGCCCCCGCTCAGCTTGGGAGGCCCTGGGTTGGGGGCGCCGACCTGAGGTTTGTTTGGTTTTGTAGCTCTAGGTTTGGTTTCCGCATAGAGGAGGGTGGTAGATGTTCCGGGAGGCAGTGCGACTGGACAGGCACGTCCTGTGCGGGCACGGAAGTCAGGGTGCTTGTCCGGGAGGAGTGTCAGTCCCTCGGGTGTGAAAATCTGCTGACGCCTGTAGGAGACAGGTCTAACAGGCCTAGGCGTTAGATGGCTTTGGTCGATAGGATCTGTCATTTCCCCCATGTCTGTTTTTCGGAGATGTTCCTGTGCGTTGGGGATTGCCGGTGGAGGGCATTGTACCCTGCCGTTCCCGGACACCCCGCTCCTGCCACGCCCCCTCCCCGTTTTGCAGACTGCAGGGAGGTGCAGGGTGCTGGTGTCTTCTGAGACCTGAGCCGTGTTTGCTGGGTTTGCTGACGGCGTCCATGTCCGTCTTTCCCAGAATAGGCTTTGGAGTCCTTCACACAAGATACACAGATGACCCCGCACTCGGGGTGAGCAAGCTCACTGGTGCCTTGTGTTTTCAGAAGCGGCTCCCCTCAGTCGAGGAAGGGGAGGTGGGGCTTGAAATGAAAAAGTGTTCTGTTCCAAAGCGACGTTTCTATATAAAACATTAATACATCTGTGAGGGCCTCTTCTGATGCCTCCTCGGGAAGTGTGAAAAAGTGGAGTGGGCCCTGTGGTGCACACACGCCCCCGGGGGGACACTGACCTCTGCCCGTGGCGGCCGTCCTTCCTGGGGGACCCCGGACCTCTGCCTGCGGCGGCCGTCCTTCCTGGGGGACCTCTGACCTCTGCCCGTGGCGGCCGTCCTTCCTGGGGGACCCCGGACCTCTGCCCGTGGCGGCCGTCCTTCCTGGGGGACCCCGGACCTCTGCCCACGGCGGCCGTCCTTCCTGGGGGACCTCTGACCTCTGCCTGCGGTGGCCTTCTTTCCCGGGGGGACCCCTGACCTCTGCCCGCGGCGGCCGTCCTTCCTGGGGGACCTCTGACCTCTGCCTGCGGCGGCCGTCCTTCCTGGGGGACCCCGGACCTCTGCCCACGGCGGCCGTCCTTCCTGGGGGACCTCTGACCTCTGCCTGCGGTGGCCTTCTTTCCCGGGGGGACCCCTGACCTCTGCCCGCGGCGGCCGTCCTTCCTGGGGGACCTCTGACCTCTGCCTGCGGCGGCCGTCCTTCCTGGGGGACCCCGGACCTCTGCCCACGGCGGCCGTCCTTCCTGGGGGGATCCTGACCTCTGCCTGTGGTGGCCTTCCTCCCCGGGGGGACCCCTGACCTCTGCCTGCGGTGGCTGTCCTTCCCGGGTGACTGTCATTTATGGGGGAGACCCCAGTTATCTGCGTGGTGGCCATCCTTCCTGGGAGACTGTCCTGTCTTAGAGTGAGGGGATGGAAAGCTCGTGGGGGGAGTGGACTTGCTCTAAGAGTCAGTGGTTTCACAGTGGGAGGTTTTGATTGTCAGGGAGAGGGTGGGATGATTTTCGAGAATAACACTGAAGCATACACATTACCACATGAAAAACAGATCGCCAGTGAGAGTTGGATGTATGATGCAGGGAACCCAAAGCTCGAGCTCTGTGACAACCTCAAGGGACGGGGTGGGGGGAGGGGGCTTCCAGAGGGAGGAGACACGTGGATGCCTGTGGCCGATTCATGCTGATGTATGGCGGAGGCCATCCCAGCGTTGTAATCATCCTTCAGTTAAAATTAATTAATTAAAAAAGAGACACAAACGTCTCCTCCACGTTCCGTTCTGAATCTTTTCCCCTCTCCCCGCACCCCAGGGTGGTGGGGTTCCGAGGATGCCAGTGGGGCTCGCGGGCCGCCGGCCCAGGCAGCTCAGCTCCCATGGCGGGAGCTTTCCTTGGGGGACTGGGGAGAGCGGGGAAGCAGGGCCGCTTCGGGAAGGCCGTGAGTGCGGACCGCCTGGAGTTCACCGCGGGCCCATACATGGTCTGTGACTGCCTGCAGTGAGCTTTCAAGTAGACGGTGTGTGAATTTTCAGTGCTTCCTCTCCAAGGCAGCTCCAGCCTGGTCCTGCCTTCAGAGCAGGCTGGGGGGTCCTGGAGCCCTTGGCGGACCCCCGAGCTGCCGCCTCCCTGTCTGCGACTCAGGCGGACGGCGTCAGGCTCCCCCAGCCCCCTCCCAGGTGCAGACACTCAGCGCTTCCGCCTGGGCGACAGGGGCCTCTGGTTGGTTCTCCTGAAGCTGTGTGATGATGTTCATGCTGATACTGTGCGTTGCCGTTTTATTGCGTCCTGTTTCCGTTGCAAATAGTCATAAATATTGTTCCCGTTTTGACTGCATTATGACATGTTTCTCTAAGTAGTCTCACGTACGCTGCGAGCTGCAGGGTGGAGCAGGCTGTGTTCCGCTCTGTCGCCTCTTTCCGAGCGGGTCTCCACCCACCTTAGGGGGGATGCCTCCTCCTCCCCAGGCCGCAGAGCTTCACGAGGCCCTCCCTGCGCCCTGACAGCCTCTGGCGGTCGGCAGGAGCCTTGGGGGGCCTTGACAGAGCGCCCCTGCCCCGCCCTGCTGGGCTCCTCTGCCTTGGCCTCGCCTGTAAGGAGAGCAGGGGCAGGTGCTCTGGCGGCGGTCGTGGGCGTGATTCATCTAAGGCGCTAGGCACGGGGCCCGCGCTCCAGCAGCGGAGCGTCCTTCCAGCAGCAGACGGTCGGCCGGCTCTCGCCCGGGGCCGCCTCCGTCCGCCTGGCAGGTGGTCTCCGGCTCGCAGGTGGCTCTGTCATGGCTCTGCTGTTGGTGACCACCAGGCCCTTCGCCAGCCTGAGTTCCCCCACCTCGGCCTGGGTCCGCGGGTCAGCCTTTCTCGGGAATCCTGAGCTGACGTCGGCGGGGGGGGAGGGCAGTGGGCTCGTCTCTGCTCTCCCCATGGCCCAGGATCCCGTTCCCCACCAGGGAAGCCACCACATGCTGTTGGCACCCCCAGCCCGCTGTTGAGGGAGCCTTAGCCTCTGTCCTCTCTGCTCGAGAACGGGTCCCCTGTCCCGGGCTGGCCGGCCGGTGCCGCCCGCTGCCTCCTGCGCCCCAGCAGGAGAGGCTGGGCAGTGGGCTGGCCGGTGGGGCGACCAGGCCTGGGGGTCACAGTACCGGACTTGTTGGTTGTCTCTGCCTCACTTGAAGGGAGGGATCGGACTGGCCTGAAGCCTTTGGGGCTTTCACTTCCTCCCAAAAGGACACAGGGAGGGGCTGCGTCAGGCGCGGCCCGCCTGCCCTGTGAGCGCCGCCGGGCAGCTTCCCTTGTCGGGACGGCGGTGCCCCCTCTGTGCGGGGTGGCGGCAGATTGCAGAACCCGCTGGCTGTGTCCTCCTGTAAGCCATCCCTGTTGCTCACGCGTGCTGCCAGGTGACTGACGAGCTCAGGTGAGTGCCAGCTGCTGACGCTGCCTCTCTCGGGAGCGCCCCGAGGAAATCAGGCGGCCTGGGAACAGCTGCACCCTCTGTCTCCTCTTCTTCCGTCCACGCAGCTGTTTTGCACGCCTGCTGTGTGGCGGGCATGGTGGGCAGGGCCTGCCCTCCTGCCGCTCGTGTGGACAGGGTGGGGGGTGAGCTCGGGGCTGCGGACGCTGCGGGGGCTCCTTCCCGCCTCTCGGGTTAAGGTTAGGGATGCATGTGCTCCCCGGGCTGGACGGGCCAGCGCCGGTGTTGTTCTTGGGGGGCACTGCAGAGTGTCCCGCCGTGGTGGGCTTGCTGTGGCAGGGCTGACGGCAGCATGGTGACCCTGTGTGTGTGTGTGTGAAGTTCACAATGGAAATACAGTTTGCAGAGCCCTTCTGGGGAGGGATAAAACTAGACCCAAGATCTTGAGAAATGACCGTTGTCCCTGGTGGCTTAGCTGGCAAAGAATCCGCCTGCAATGCAGGAGACCTGGGTTTGATCCCTGGGTTGGGAAGATCCCCTGGAGAAGGGGAAGGCTACCCACTCCAGTATCTGGCCTGGAGAATGCCATGGACTGTGTAGTCCACGGGGTCGCAAAGAGTCGGACACGACTGAGCGACTTTCACTTTCACTCAAAAAAAATGTGCTTGTCACACCCACTAGGTGTGATAGAAAAGACGGACACTAGCAAGTGTTGGTGAGGGTGTGGAGAAACCCGAACCCTGTGTGACACTCTGAGGGTGGGGGTGTGAAATCGGGCAGCCGTGTTGGAGTCTGACAGTGCCTCAGTGTAACTCAGAGCGGCCTTGTGACTCAGCGGGTGCACCCCCTAGGTGGGTATGTACTCTGGGGAATTGAAAGCTTGTATTCACCTGGAAACTTATATGAGACTGTCACAGCAGCGTTATTTATCATCGCCTCCAAAGTAGAAACAGCCCACCTGCCGTTCAGGAACGGATAAATGAGACGTGGTCCATCTGTACAAGGAGGGAAGTTCTGACACCGGCTCCCGTGTGGGTGACACCTGAGAGCATTCCGCTTAGTGCAAGATGCCCGTGGTAACAGGGCACAGTGATGTGAGTGCCCAGGATGGGTAGCTCCATAGAGACAGAGAGCTGGTTGCCAGGGGCTGTGTGGGGGCATGTGGGGACCTGCTGCTGGCTCCAGGGTTTGCTCATGGATGGCGATGGAATGTTCTGGAGTTAGATGGTGGTGACTGATGGCTGCCCGATTCTGTGAGCCTGTTAAATCCCACTGTGTGTGCATTAAATTTTGTGGTATGTGAATTATATCTCAGTAAAAAAAAAACCCAGAACATTGAAAACGTAACTGTTGGCCCCTTGCTGTGGCCTGTGAGGGGGCGCAGAGGGGCTCTGCCCTCGGGGGGTGAGGGTCTGTTGGGGTGAGGAGGAGCGCCAGCCGGTCAGGAGGTGCCCGCTGACCAGGTCACCGTTCCGTCTCGCTGGGTTGAGCCTGCGGGTGGGCACAGCATCACTCTTGGGTCACAGAGCCCCCCCTCCTCTGGGGACAGGCCTGTGGGTGCCCGCCCGGCAGGAGCTCCCTGGCCAGTTGAACTCCCTGGGTCGCAGAGCCCGCCTCCTCCGGGGACAGGCCTGTGGCGCCCGCCAGGCAGGAGCTCCCTGGCCGGTTGAAGGCTGCCCCGCTCCAGATCGCGTGAAGTCCGAGTTCTTGGTTCTGCCCGTTGGCACCCTGGGGGACTTGTGCTCAGCCTGGCTCAGCGAGGCCCCTGCACCTGCCCAGACCAGCTCACCTTGCTCCGTCCTGGGGGCCTTGAACGCCAATGGTCAGTGTCCTCCTGACTCCAGACCCCCAGCCAGGCCCGTGTCTGCTCCGCTCCGCCCCCTGCTGGCCCTGTGCCCGAGCCCATCCCTCTCGCCTCCTGTGAGCTTAGCTCTGCTCTGCCAGCTGCACCCCGGGCTGCCCGGGGGCTGCAGGGCGGCCAGCTCAGCCCCGGCTCGGCCTCCCTGCACTTCCGCCGTCTCGAGCGAGGCCCCGCTGGCCTGGAAGATCGTCTGTGTGCCTGGTGCCAGGGCCGCTCCCCTGGGGACCTGCTTCCCCAGCAGCCTTCCAGGCTGGGGGCGGCACTGCGAGGGGCCGCTAAGGCCCAGTGCTTAGCAGCCAAGTGTCTGAAGAAAGCCAGAGGCTAGAGGGGGCTGATGCGCCCCTTGCTGAGCATTCTTCTGTGTTTTCAGACCTCTTTTCCCTCTTCCCACTTTCATCCTTGTTTCTCTTTCTCTGTTCATTGATTTTTCTGATGCTCTAGCCACACTCCGCCTGCAGTCCCGGTCACATAAGCACACATCCAGTGTGCTTATGGTGGGGCAGGGGCGGTTAGGGTTTGCTCTAGACCGAACATGTGTGTTCCTCAAGTTCACGTCGTCGCTAATATTTTATTCTGCGTTCTTCTTGGTGATGGCCATTCTGACAGGTGTGAGATGGTAGCTCACTGTGGCTTTGATGTGCGCTTCTCTGATGACCAACGGCGTTGAGCGCCTTTTCAGGTGCCAATGGTCTCTGTGTTTCCTCTCTGGAGGCCTTCCGCCCACGTTTAGAAGACGGTCGTGTGTGTTTGTCTGTTTTGGGCTGTCCTGTGCTCGTCGCCGCGGGGGCCTTCCCTGGCTGTGGCGATCGGGGCTGTCCTGTGCTCGTCGCCGCGGGGGCCTTCCCTGGCTGTGGCGATCGGGGCTGTCCTGTGCTCGTCGCCGCGGGGGCCTTCCCTGGCTGTGGCGATCGGGGCTGTCCTGTGCTCGTCGCCGCGGGGGCCTTCCCTGGCTGTGGCGATCGGGGCTGCGCCCTAGCTGCGGTGCTTGAGCTGCTCGTTGCGGTGGCTTCTCTGGTTGCCGAGCATGGCTCTGGGACGTGCGGGCCTGGCGCTTGCAGCCCCCGAGCTCCGAGGCACGGCCCAGTCCTTGTGGGGCACGGGCTTGTTAGAACGCGCGTCTCCTGCACCGACCAGTGCGTTCTTTACCGCTGAGCTGCCAGGGAAGCCCCTGGCCATTTTTACTTCCCTGGCGATTTTCTGAGTCGAGTTGTATGAGCTCTTTGTATGTTTTGGACATTACTCCCTTATCAGTCATATCATTTGCAAATGCTTTTTCACGTTCACTAGGCTGTCTTTTCCTTTGGCAGTGGCTTCCTTTACTGTGCACAAGCTTTTACGTTTACTTAGGTCACATTTGTTTATTTTTGCTTTCATTTTCTTTGCTTTAGGAGACAGATCAAAAAAAAATATTGCTGTGATTTATGTAAAAAAAAGTGTTCTGCCTGTGTTTCTCCTCTGGGAGTTTTATGGTTCACTCTTACATTAGGTCTTTAATCCTTTTTGAGTTTATTTTTGTATGTGGTGTTAGAGAATGTCCCAGTTTTGTTCTTTTACACGTAACTGTCCAGTTTTCCCAGACTCACTTATTAAAGGACCGTCTTTTCTCCATTGTATAGTCTTGCCTCCTGCATCGTAGATGGATTGGCTGTAAGTCTGTAGGTTTATTGCTGGGCTCTTTATCCTGTCCGTTGATCTGTGTGTGTGTTTTTCTGCCAGTGCCACACTGTTTTGATTCCTGTAGCCTTGTGGTATAGTCTGAAGTCAGCGAGGGTGATGCCTCCAGCTTTGTTCTTCTTTCTCAAGATCGTTTTGGCTATTTGGGGTCTTTTGTGTTTTCACAGAAATTTTAAATTTATTTGATCTACTTCTGTGAAAAATGTCATTGGTATGTTGATAGAGATTGCATTGAATCTGTAGATTGCCTTGGGTGTGGTCATATTAACAGTGTTAATTCCCAGTGCAAGAACACACTGTGTCTTTTGGTTTGTTTTGTCTTCTGCTTATTTCATCGGTGTCTTACTGCTTTCTGAGTACACATCTTCTGCTTCCTTAGGTAGGCTTATTTGTAGGTGTTTTATTTTGAGGTAGCGGTAAGTGGGATTGTCTCCTTAATTTCTCTTTCTGATGGTTTTAGCATATAGAAGTACAGCAGATTTCTCTGTATTAATTTTGTATCCTCAAACTTTAACAGCTTCATTGATGAGCTCTAGTAGTTTTCTGGCGGCAGCTTTAGGATTTTCTACGTATAGTATTGTGTCACCTGCAAACAGTGACAGTTACTTCTTCCTTTCCAGTTCGGATTCCTTTTATTTCTTTCTCTTCTCTGATTGCTGTGGCTAGGACTGAGCAGAAGTGGCGAGAGTGGGCTTGCCAGCCTTGTTCCTGATCTTAGAGGATGTGCTCTCAGCTTTTCACCGTTGAGCGTGGTGTTAGCTGTGGGTTTGTCATGTGTGATGGCCCAGCTCTCTTGATCCCCGTCCCATTTCTCTTCTCCTTCGCTAGGCTGACTCCTCCTCTCCGCTTCCTCTTTAAGTCACAGTTGTGACTCTGTGATTATCCCTTTCCCTCAGGGTCACATTTGCGGGTCATTGTCAAGTCTTTGCTCCGTGTCTTGATATCGAGTTATTGCTGAAGCTTGTCTGTTCTTGTTCCTTTAGAATGTTCCTGTGTCGCCTCCTTCCTTCTTCCCTTTCTGTCTTTGATGGGTCTGCCCTTGCGCAGACCTTTCTTATTCCTACTCATCACTGAAGGAGCCTCCAACTAGTCTCCTTGGGTCCCTCTTCCCTCTAGTATGTCCCGTGTACTCGCAGGGGGTGAGCCAAACCGAAGCACCGCTTTCTCCTCGGCTTTAGCAGCTCCCTGCTGCTTCCAGGACGGAGGTCAGACTCCTGGTATTTAATGCCTTTCATAACCGGCCTCTTAATGACTTGCTCATCCTTCTACTCCTTCCAGACATAGGAACTCCTAATGCTGGACTGTTGATGGTTAATCTTTACTTAATACTTGTGAGTCGCAAAGACTAACATGTGTACTAAAATATAAAATATGCTGATGGCATGACAGATCACAGTGTAGTGGTAAGTGATAGCAATGAACAGTCATTCACATTTTCTTCTGTGTCTGGAAGGTGTCTTTCTGCGTTTCTTCTTTGGTCTCAGTGTCCCAGGAAGCCTCTCATCCTGGGTCCACACAGAGCACCCAAGGAGCACAGGTTCGTCACAGGCCCAGGCACTGGTTTACTCCTGTTGTCCTGGTATAATTAGTAATCATGCCCCCCAATACCTACTTCAGACAGTATATCGTATGGCCGCCCTACCTGTATGTGGTGGAGAGCGTGGGCCCCAGTGTATGAAGTGATGGGCCCACAGCTGCGGCTCCTTAGGCCTGCCCAGAGCCCTAATTTCCTGCCCGTCTCCCTTGGCAGGTGTGGGGTTTCACATTGTCAGGTACCTCGTCTGTGCAGCCATGATGCCAGGAGTTGGGGGACAGGGTTGTGGTAAGACGGCCCCTGCCCTTGGGGAGCCCCTGGTGGGCACAGAGAGACCTGGAACCCCACACCGCTCATGGTGGGAGCGGAGGTGTGCCCTGGAGAAGGACAGGCTGACGGCTTTGGCGGGCTGGAAGTGGGTGGTGCAGGCTGGGAGCCAGGGAGGCGGTTCTGTGGGTGCCAGGGGACGGCAGGGGCGACCCCAGGACAGGTGGCGTCCCGGGTGGGGCGCCCTGGTGGCGCTGGGATGGGGATGCCAGCCTGGCTGTGCCACATGCTGCGGGCCCGTCGGCGGGAGCGTAGATGGTCAGTTCTCGAGTGTCCTCGGGGCTTCCTGTCTCTCGTTGCCACCCAGCCCCCTTCTGTGTGTTTACACGTGAAGTTACATGCAGGGGCCTGTGGGATTATGTTGCTTTGCCTTTGTAATTACACTGCACACTTATCTAAAATTAATTGAGCTTATCTCTGACAAGGCTGTCTGCAGCCTTCCTGCGGGCTGGATCAGCTTCCTGTCTGCCAGGTCCGTTCGTGCTGGTGGGAGCTAGGGGCTGGCCTGCTGGCTTTCAGGGTCACAGCAGGGAGGGGCTCCCTCGGGAGAGCTGGGCACCGGCGCCTCTCTGCTCTGCACTCACTGGGGGTGTTTGGTCCCCGGGGAGGTTTCTCGAGTGGCAGATGCCGAGCACGCGCAAGAGGGCAGGAACTGGGGGAGGTCGTGATGACCTCGGGGTCCTAGCCAGACGCAGAGATGAGACAGAAGGTGCTCTCAGGGGCCGTTTGTGGCTGCCCTGTTGACCTTCAGCCATCGTAGCGTCAGAATGATGTTACTTGCTGATCCCTTAGCAGACTCTGCTTGTTGACAAGCAGAGCAGCGGCTGCCAGGGAGATATCAGCAAACACCGCCACCCCGGATGGCGCACGGCTCTGCGTGCGAATATCTATTTCTTAACGCAGAAGTGGTGGGAGACCGAGGGTCTGTCTTCATCGAGTCCTTCTGGGAAGCAAAGAAGCGAAGCTCAAGCTCCTAATTTGCTTGAAAGGGTTTAGATATTTAACACGAAATAGCAGTAGCCTTTCCTTTAATTAAATGCCATGCGGCACTGGCCAGCGGATCAATGATATTGAAGGGAAAATGGTGTAATTAGACCTTGTGAAGTGACTAACAGACGACTGGGCTCCGTGTCAGGGAGGGGGTACGGGGGGGCTGGTCACAGGATGTGTAGGAGACTGCACGTGCTCTTCCCCGCCGTAGACTTGGGAGCACCAGAGCTCTCCCCGACATCTTGGGGGTACTTCTGGATTTCCTGTTAGTAACGAAGGGATGTACCTCTCATTCACTCAGTTCCCTCTTATCAGACATTTAGATCCTGTCTCTTTTGTTGACATATCAGTAACATCGTGGTCACCATATTTACGCACAAATATTTGGTTGCATTCTGGAATGTGTCTTTGGGACAGATTCACGGAAATGAAATGGCTAGCCCAGAGGGCGCGAGTGTTTTCAGCGAGGCTGGGATGTGAGCTGGAGGCGTCCGTCCCCCGTGACCTCTCGCCTCAGAACCGTCTTCAGCCCTGGCGCCTGGTGCAGAGGCAAGCGTTGCCTGGGCTCCTGTGGCTCCCTGGGCGCCTGCCCAGGGCTCTGTGGGCATCGCTGGGTCGTGGTGTCCTCGGGGCGGGTGCATCTGCCTCGTGTCCGTCTGCGGGCCTCTCCACAAACACGCCCGGAGCCGCACAGCCTCTATCTGGTTTTTAGCTGCTGTAGTGAAGCCTGGGCATCCCTGGTGGGGCGCGCATCGCTCTCCCACGGTCCTGCTGTCTCGGGGGCTGGGGCTCTTTCAAAC